AGGAGCGGATGGCTTTCTCAGCACCTTGTCCCCCGAAAGGAAGAGTCCTGGGGTGCACGGACGGGGGAGGACGCCGCCATGGTCACGCTGCACCTGGGGGCGGCTTGGGAGGCTCAGCAGGTGGAAAGGTTTTGCTGCGGCTGCAGGGGATTGTCAGAAAGGGGGATCAGAGAGGCAGAGAGGCGACAGCCCCGTGGGAATTGTTAGGGGAAAGGTCCGAGGGACTGCCATTCAGGGGGACGATCCAGAGCAGCACACGGAAAGCCATCAGAAATGCCACTGACCCTAGGAGTGGTAGCCCCTGCCGCCCGAGGGCCAGCCATGAAAACGCCCCCTGCTCTCCTCGGGGGCCCCTCGCCGGGGAGTGAGGGCAGTTTCTTTCTGAGGGTTTCTTTCAGGTTGGCCACCGCGGGTCCTGATGTCCGGTCTCACCATCAGAGTCCCCTGTACCTGGAGACGCCAGGAAGGGGTGAGGCAGCACCGTTCAGGTCGGGGCACCTGTGGGAACAGATCCAGAGGAGGAGTGGGAGGCCACAGGTGCGCTCAGTGGGTCCCACCAATGGGATGAGCAGGACTTGGGGCTGGGCCAAGCCTGAGGCCAGAAGCATGGTACCCAGGGGCTGATGTCGGGTGTGAGACTCACCGTCTGGGGTCCCGTCCAGCACGGTTGGAGTGACCGAGGAGGGAGTTCCTTTAAGAGGACAGAGTCTCCTGGTTGGAGTCTCCTCCGAAGGCGCGAGTTCTGCGGGGGCAGGAAGGTGGTGGTCCATATGTTCCCGGAGGAGGAGGCTGCAGAGCGGGGTGAGGTCAGGTGGGTGTGAGGCCAGGGGCAGGGGCTGGACGGGAAGGCGGTGGTCATCAGGGAGGGGCAGCCGGAGAGCAGCTGGAAGGGCTAAGCCCTGTGGGGGCCCCAGGGCAGCTCGGCTTCGGGTAAGAGCTCGGGGAGGCAGAGGGGGCCAGGAGACTGGAAGCTGGATGGAGAGTTTGTCAGCTGGTCCTTGAGGGACTGTGGCCTGTAAGGACGTGGACTCCCAGGAGCTGCTGGGCTGCCTGAGGGGTGAAGGCAGGGCCATCGTGTGACTGGGTGGACGTCGGGAGGCCGGGACTGGGGTGATCTGCTCCATGAGGACTGAGGCCAAGCGTCTGGTTCCCTCGGGCTGTCGGGAAGGCCCAGTCCACCCTGAGAAACTGTCAACCAGGGCGACCAGGTGTGGCAACTTTCCGTGTCTGGGCGTGTGAGGAAGGTCCACCCGCCAATCCTCGCCTGGTCAGTGTCCTCGCACCTGATGAGGGGGGACCTGGGGTCGCAGGCCCCTGGAGGTGTAGAGGGGACCCTGTGGAGCTTGTGTGGCCCTGTTGAGTGACGTCAGCCTGCGGGAGGAAGGAGGGAGGGGGGGTAAGGGCTGGACCCTGGAGGAAGGGAGGAACCACTTGGTGGACTGAACGGAGATCCTGCACTACGCGGTGAGCTCCTGACCGTGTGAGGACAGGTGGGACCCGAGTGTCGCAGGGAGAGTCTGTGGAAGAAGGAGGCTCGTGTCCCCTGCGGTGAGGGAGAATCGCTCTTCCAGTTTGGAGGTGCCCCAGACCTGGGGGGCTGCGAGGCCTGGTGGGAGGGGGTGCGTGGTGGGGGGGAGGGGTGTCCATAGCGGACTGAATCAAGGGGAGGAGGAGTTGGGAGTAGGGTCATGGGGTGAGAGCTGGAGGGGAGCCCCCAGAGCTGAGAACACCTCGTCCCAGGAGGGGCAGTGGACAGGAAGGGAACTACGAAGCACTGGGTAAGGGGGCGTCCCTCCAGGGAGCGCGTCAGAGTGGCCGTCTTCTTTGGGAAGCAGGATGTCCCGTCCCCATGGCCGAGATCTGGGAGGGATAGACAGGCCCAGAGTGGACAGGCAAGACGGAATAGGTCGCCCGTGTCCACAGGAAGGTGATGGCCTCACCCGCTCCCTGGAGCGGTACCCTGGGCTCGGAGGGTCATCAGCCAGTCCCAGAAGCCCAAGAGAAGGGACTGCGTGTCCAGCCACACCCCGATGTTGACACTCTGGAGCGGGACCAACCAGGGGACAGTTACTCTTCCAATGTTGTCCCAGCTGCTTGGCGCTGGGGCACGGCCGAGAGGGGGACCACGTGTTAGGGCACTGGGGCGGGGGGCAGTGGCCTTCTTGTCTGCATTTGAAGCAGGCCCTGGGTGGGGCAGACTTCGGCAAACCCCTGGGAGCCCCCGCTGGGGGCCAGAGCTGGCCGCAGAGCTGCCCCGGGGCTTGTGTCTGGAGGCCACCCTTTTCTGTGAGCGGCTGCCGGCTGAGTTGGGCTGCCTCCTCACGGGCACCGTGAACTTTAAAGGCCGTTTCCACCAGACCTCGGGTGGGGCTTGGGGACCCTCCTCAGCCCACATTAGCTTTTTTCTAATATCGGGAGCTGGCTGGGTGATAAATGAGTGGCCAGAACGGTCACCCCAGAGGGAGAATCGGGGTCTAACCTAGTCCAGAGAGCGAGGGCCTCCGTCAGGCAGGTAAGGGACATTGCAGGGCTCTCACAGGCCCCGAGGGACTTGGGTTAGTTTATTAAAATTAACAGCCTTATTAGAAGCTGCCTGCCTGCCGGCAGACGCGGCATCACCTGGGCACAGCCCGTCGGCCCTCTTCTCCATTTTGATAGTCCCGACCAGGATAGGTGTCGGGGACCACGGCCACGCCTGTAGGCACGGTGTCATCGGTCAAATGAACCTGGTCGGCATGGTCCCGTGCAGCTACCTGGGTGAGGTGGAGGCGAGGGTGACGTGGACTTAGGCCACCTAAGGCCACAGGCTGGGAAAGGCACTTAAATTCTTTGACGTACGTAGGCAGTGGGTCAGCAGAAAGGGCGCCTGGGTGTCTCTCGATCTGGGAGAGGTTTTCTGGGGAAAAGGGACAGGAACCCGGACGATGCCCTCAGATCCTGCCACCTGGCAGAGAGGACAGAGGAGTTCAGCAACAAATGATGGCCCCAGTACTGGCCACTCCGTCCTCTGTGATGTCCTCAGAGCCAGAGGCTTCCTAGGACCAAAGACTCTTCACCTCCCGAGATGAAGGTGGGAGATTTGTCCCTAGACCAGAGCCACAGCCCAGATGAGAGCTCTCCAGATGCCCCCGCAAGGGACTAAGGACCTGCCCGTGTTGACCAGAGGGAAACGCCTGAGGGGGACGAGGCCGTTTTGTGTGCGGCCTTTCTCCCCCCAGAGCTCATAAGCTGGAGGAATCCTGCTCCCTCCTCCACGGAGAAGCCCTGGGCCAGGACTGATCTGGGGCAGCCCATGATCCAGACCAGGGATGGGCCCAACAAGAAGAAGGGCTAAAGGTAAAGAGATGTCAAGAGGCCTCAGAGACCTGGGATGGGCACTGACTGGGGAGGAGCCGGGAGGGAGGGTGGTCTCCCTGGGGAGGGTGGGGCAGGAGGGTCTGCGGGTGGTGAGGAGAGTGTCTGGGGAGGTTCAGGGAGTGGAGAGGGTCAGAGTCAGGAATGAAGTGGCTCCCCCTTTCTCCACAGAAAAGCCCTCTTCACCATGGCTGATTTCAGGACTGTCAGCAAAAGAGTCCATCATGGATAAACTTCCTATTTTCCTGTCGCCCTGTTTACTTGGCCACTGGCTGAGAAGATACCAGCCCTCCAGGTGCTGGACACCCTGTTACTAGTTTTCACAAACGTATCCAGTAGAGTACTTTGAAGAAATGTGCAAACAAGGCCTCTGGCCTTGAGCTGGGCTTCACAGAAATGTCTACATGTTTAAGATAAGTTACAAATGGGCTCCATGGTAACAGCTGGCAGAGGAGGAAGGAGAGGGGAGGGGAGAAGCAGCTCCCCCCTTCTCAGGTGCTGTCCTTGAAGGGTTAACTTGCCCAGAACAGGGAGAGAAAAAGCTGCTTTATGTGAACTTCTGCAGATGTGAACTTCTGAGCCCCTCCCCTTACACGCTGGGTATAAACTCTGGAACTCCCTGAACTCGGGGTTCAGGGGGTAGATTGATGATAGCACAGGCTGTGCCCTCTGAGCCTGGCTGCAGCCAAATAAAACTGTGTCCTGCTGTCTTCGGTGCCCTGTGTCATTTGTCCCTACAACAGGAGCAGAGGGGACTTGGGAGGACAAGTTTCTTTAGCAAGGAGGACTTGGAAAGTGGAGCAGAGGACACAAATCAGTGAGGACTTTAAAATCAAAAGTCCCCTCGGGAGGCCACTTAGAGCCATTATCTGAAGTGTATTGTGGGATAGAAGAGGAACCATTTGCCGCATAAGTCCCCAGCGAGTCCCAGCTTGGGGAAAAACTCCCCAAGGGAGTTCCGGGGTGCAGAGAGGACTCTGTTTCCCATGACGACCGACCCCGGGTGAGCAGGGAGGGAAACGGCAACTACCTGCTCTGCTCCCCGAGAGCCAGGGCCTGGCCAGGGACTGAGAGGCTCCGCAGTCCACTGGGGGCCGGGTGGGGAGGGGAGTCTCTGCAATGGCAATCGGGAGGGAGTCGAAGATCAAAGAGAAAGGACTCACCCCACGTCCTGATCCTTTGGATGAGGGCAGTGGGCTACAGATCCCTGTGGAGAGGAGCAGCCTCCACCCCAAGCACCAAATGTAAAGCAGAAAGGGCGCAAGATCAGGACCCCGGAACAAGAAGGAGTTCCCAAAAGAAGGTTTATTGGGGGCGCTCCCAGGCAACGGTCCCCAAAAGGGTGAGGGCCAGGAACATCACGGGGCATGGAGTCTGTCCCGGGTTGTCAGGGCTGAGGTGGGATGGAGGGGCGATGGCTTCAGCCAATGGGAACCATGGTGGTTGGGGTCCGTTGCCGTGACAGCTTCTGATTGGCCATTTCGGGTCTCCTAGGTCAGATGGAAAGTCCCCCCCCACCCCCCCACCCCGCAGCCGCCATGGAAGGGGAGGGGAAGGGAAGCCTGCCGACCCCACAGAGGCCAGCCTCAGGAACTTAGCAAGACCCTGTCTCAAGAAGAAATATAAAAAAAGGCTGTGGGCGTGGCTCGGTGATGATTTTTTTCTATGTCAGCTTCTGCTACATGTTGCTGCAGTAACAAACAAGCCCAGCATCTCGGGGGCTCACATGATCACTTCCTCTCTCACGGTTTCATGTGCACTGCAGGTCGGCTGGGGGTCTTTTCCATGTGACCTCATCTGGGATCATGGCCGAAGGAGCAACACCCTCTGGGACAGGCAGTTATTGTGACTGATTGAAGAAGAACCATGGATGAAGCAAGAACTTTTCAGGCTCAGAACTTCTGCTGGGAATCAGCTGACCTCACTTTAGCTCACATTCTGTTGCCTAAGCAAGTCACATGACGGTGCTTGCTGTCCGTGGCGGGTGGAGCAGTGACCTCCTCCTGCAGAGAGAGCAGCAGATCACTGGGAACCATAAGACTATCCACAAACCTTCCCTGACCCCACCGTGGTATGACCTTCCGGAATCTTCCACCACCCACTCTAGGCTATATGCAATAGAGAGAGCACTGAAGGATGGAGGCAGGAGAACTAACAGGTCACCTGCAGAACCCACAGGACAACCAGAGAGCGGGACGGTGCTCTGCAGGGGGAACTGCCAGCCCCCCGAGGCTGTCCTGGACTGGATTGTCCCCAACCCCACCCTAGTAGACCAGACACAGGGCCACCATGTTGCACATGCAGGGTTCCCCATGGACGAGGTGTGACTGGCCTCCCTCTGGAGCCAGGCGATGAGGTGCCCTTCACCACTCACTCCCTCCACCAGGCCTGCCTAAGGGGCCATTCCCTTGCCAGGCTGCCAGTTGGCACTGTCACCTCCAGAGGCAAGCTGATTGGTGAGACCTAGTCCACAGCCAGGCAGCTTGCTACAGGAAACAATAGAGCTGTGAGTTTGGGGACTTCCGCCTTGAAGGGAGGACATGAAGAGGAGAGTTTGAAATGTTGGGTAACCACAGAGGAAGTGTCCCCGAGCTGGGGTGGCAGTGAACTCCTGTAATCCCAGCCGCTCCAGAGGCTGAGGCAGGAGGACGGCAAGTTCGAGGTCAGTCTCTGCAACTTAGCGAGGCCCTAAGCAATTTAGCCAGACCCTGTCTCAAAATAAAAAAAATAAAAAGGGCTGGGGATGTGGCTCAGTGGTAAAGCACTTCCTGGGTTCAGTCCCCAGTACTGGGGGGGGTGTGGAAACTCTGCGGGTCTTTATGTTCTCAGAAGATCCAGACAGAGGCACCATGGCACAGGAACAAGACTCTAATGTTCAGGCACAAAGGAGGCAGTGGTTGGGGGACAGCAATCCCAGGCTGATTCAAACAAGGGACAAAAGTGTGCAGCTTCCACAGCATCTACAGGGAGGAGAGACGGGGTCTGTTGACGCCATCACAGGTAGGAGTGGGGTTTGGGCTGCACCTGAGCTCTTCAGGCCTGGTGGAGGGAGGCAGGCTCATTATTCTGTGACTCAAGGTGCAATTTTTATTAAGCTAAAAAAGCCCATGAATCTCTAGGCTACTTTGGCGAATGAAGCCTTACTCATGGTGCTTGCTACTGATTACCTGGAAATTGCCCCTTATCATCTGGGAAAGGTCATAAAATAATTTCAGAACAGGGCAGACCATTGTCCTGCCTCCAGGGTTTGATTTGAATGGCCCTGCATTTCTTCCGGCAGCCTCTGCTGGTCACACCGCCTTTGAAGGCTGAGCTGAATCTTCAACTTTCTGTTGTCTTAATTCCATAACCTTGAAAACTGGTTCTAATTCCTCTGAAGCCAGGTGATGAGGTGCCCTTCACCACTCACCTCCTCCACCAGACCTGCCTAAAGGGTCATTCCCCAGGCCGGGCTGCCAGTGTCGTTGAGCTGATGACCAGACGGAATCCTGGTTATCAGAGGCATTCATTTGACGGAATCCTCCCTTGTCTGCTCACCCTGTCTTATTTTTCTCGGTGGCCTTTACCAGGTTCCAACAAAGCACCTGTCCACCTTATCTTTCTCTCTCTCTCTACCTCCCACCCCAGCATGGGACCTCCAGCAGGGCAGGGACATACTCCTGTGGTGTCTTCAGCACCTGGGATAGATCCCAGTACCTAGTAGGTGTTCAATAAATCTGTGTTGACCGGAGGAAGGCAAGCCACAAAAGACCCCTCTGTGGAGGGGTCCCCAGAGCTGTGGGAGTCAAAGGAGGGTCGTTTCCACGATTCCCTGATCAGCCCTCGGGCTCAGAGCGGGGGAGAGGTTGCCAGGGGGAGCCGCTCAGCTTCCTCCTCTCAAAATGCCCCTCCCACCAGGCACTGATTCCCCTCCCACGCTCAACCAGACCCAAAATAAGACGTTTAATATGGCCATTCTGACAACATGGGCCTTTGACCTTCTCGGCTATTTGCTGACCCAATCTGTTTGTTCATTTTACTCAGGAACATGGGCTACCAAAATCCTAGCCCCCTCCCTGAGACCCTCCCATTTCTTGACCTCCGCTCTGACTCCTTCTCAACCTCCACCCCATTCCTGACCCTTAACCCTGACGTGCACCCATTTCTGAGCTTCTGGGACGAAGAGACCAAAGCTTCAGTGGTCTGTTTTAGGGCCGAGACCCCATTCCGGTCACCAAGAAACAGATCCACAAAGGGAAGCGACAGAGCCTGAGGTGAGGGGCCTCAACCGTGGAGCCCAAACATCAACAGGCGAGGGACAGCCTCGGACCGCCCAGAGCTCCGGGAGAGCCACCGCAGCAGGGAGCCTGGGAGCTGGGGTAACCCCAGACAGTGACAGCACGCTCCAGAAGAGGAACACAGCGGCCACACTTTCCCGAGTTGGCAATATCTCAGCAGAACAAGGACGTTAGAAAATTCAGAGATTTCCAAGACCCGCCCCTGTGATTCCATCCAGAAATTCACCCGGGTGTGTCAGGCTGAGAGCTGCCCCGCCAGGTCCCCGGACCCGGGCAGAGGGTGTCCAGGGACCAAATCCTCCAAAGTAAACAAAACTCAAAAGAGGAATCTTCAAGAATGACATAGGGATGTTGCAAAAGAGGACCAGACCTGCTTGGGACGTATGGGGACTCTGGCCAAGACAGACACCCCTGGGGACCAGGAAACCTCCCGCGCTCTCTGGGTCTGTCTCTCTCTGTGGGGTGTTGCTCTCCTCACCTCTCTCTTGGTCTCTCTGTCCTTTCTCTGGTCTTCATCCTTTGTGTCATCTCTTTCCCTCTCTCTCGCTCTCTCCCTCCCCCATCTCCTAGTCCCTGCCTCTGATTCCCCCCCTCCCTGCCTGCCCAACCCAGGGCTTCCGCGGAACTGTTACCTTTCTGATCCATTTCTGTCCACTCGGCTGGGGCTTCAGGAAGGCAGAACTTCTTCTCTGTATTATTTTCTGCTGTGTCCCCCCAGGGCCGGGGATAAGGGCTGGCTCAATGACTTCAGGCTGGATAAAGAACAAGCAGAGCCACCTCTCTGGCGAGCATGGTCGGTATTTTATTTGATGCTGGGTTGAACACAGGGCTTCACTTGTGCTAAATAGGAGCTTCCTGCCCAGGGCTGTAAAGCAACAATGTTAACCATTGTCTCCGCTGCTGCTGCTGCTGCTGCTGCTGGCAGGAATCGGGCCAGGCAGCTTCCTGCCCAAGCCTTACAAGTGGTTGTGAAGCACCATCACCAGGCTCCATTTCAAAATGAGAAAACTGAGGCCCAAGAGAACCGATTTGTGCGTTTGGGCCCAGATCCGCCTAATTAATTCCCCAGCCCGTGGGTCCCCGAAGATCAGGGGCGATTTAGAGCTCGGATCTGTCCCAGTTACGGGTTCCAATTTCAGCTCTGCCACTGAGCAGCCGAGACCTTTTAGAAAACTGCTGAATCTGCCAGGTGCAGTGGCGCACGCCTGTGATCCCGGCGCTTCGGGAGGCTGAGGCAGGAGGATCACAAGTCCAAAGGCAGCCTCAGCAACTTAGCGAGGCCCTAAGCAACTCAGTGAGATCCTGTCTCTAAATAAAATATAGAAAAGGGCTGAGGGTAGGGCTCAGTCTTTTTTCTTTACTTTCTTTTTTTTTATTGTTGTTCAAAACATTACAAAGCTCTTGACATATCATATTTCACACTTTGATTCCAGTGGGTTATGAACTCCCATTTTTACCCCGTGTACTGACTGCAGAATCACATCGGTTACACATGCACTGTTTTTACATACTCGTGTCTGCTGTATTCTGCTGCCTTTCCGATCCTCTACTATCCCCCCTCCCTCCCCGTCTTCTCTCTCTACCTCATCTGCTGCAATTCAGTTCTCTCCCTTGTTTTTCTTAAGCGCCCCTGGATTCCATCCGCGGTACCAAAAAAGGGAAAAAAGGAAATCGCCAAATCTCTCTGCGTGCCCAACTCGCCACGACAGCGTCGCGGGACCAGCGCCCACCTCCAGGGCTGTCACGAGTTCCAGGTGGCTCACGCCTGCGCAGAGGACGCGCCTTCCCGCGGCCGCGCCGGGCACCGCAGAAGTGGGACGCCCCTTCCGCAGCTGGCGCCTCGGGTGGGCGGTGCCTAGGGCATTCCGACGCCGGACTCGGCTCAGTCGCTACCTCCGACGTCCGCGGAGGAGCAGCCAGAGTCCAACCCGCAGATCGCAGCGGCGCTCTGGGCCTGCGACACCGAGGAACCAACATGGTCTCACCCCTGGCTCTGCTGGCGCTGCTGGCGCTGTCCTGGGCGACCCGGGGAGCCGGTGAGTGACCTCGGCGCCGCTCGCGGTCCCGGCCCAGCCCCCGCCCCGCTCCCGCTCCCGGCAGCTCTCTGCCTCTTGGGCCTCCGAAGGCTGCAGGCACCGACCCTCTGCCACGCAACCTCCTCCGCCCCGGGGCTGGAAGGAATAGGGACCCCCGCAGGACCCCGCTCTGAGCCGCCCTGACAGGTGGAGTTCCGAGATTCCCGAAACCGGAGTCCGACTCCGGGAAAGGAGGATGACTCACGGCGGTGGCCTCCGGCTCGCGATCGCCACGCCCGGGCCAGCCCGCGGCCAGGAACACCGAGAGGGCTGACCTGGGAGACGGCGGCACCGGCGCTGGCCCCGGGACCCTGGCCAGGCGGGGATTCATTCATTCATGGGATCGGGGCATTCTCTCCGCACGTGACGATTGAGCACCTGCTGTGTGTCGGGGAGGGTGCCCGGTGCTGGCGCCGCGGCTCTGTTCAGACCTCGGCTGCTGGGGTTGAATACCTGTGTCACCGTGGGAAAGTGAACTTGCTGAGTGGTGGCCGCGGGGGCGGGGAGGACCTTCCCTTGCAAGGCGGGTTTTGCGAGGATCTCGCCGCCCGCCCGAGCGCCAGGATGGTCTGGGTGCAGGGTGGAGCCCACCCACCCGCTCCCAGCCCAGGCTCTGCCCGTGTCTAACCGCAGGAGGTGACTTCACCCTCCCAGCCCGGCTTTCCCCCCTCTTAAAGGGACGAAAATTCTAGTGTGTATCACACAGGGCTCTGGAGAGGGTTGGAGGAAATTTGAGCAGAGGCCACCTCGCCCAATTGCATCCCCCAGGGAGGAGAGTCGCTGACCCCGAGCCGCACAGCAGCAAGTCAAGGGCAGAGTCGGCATCCGACCCAGATCCCTTCAGTCACTGGGGAAAAAATGCCTGAGATAATCATTTTTTTTTTTGAGACAGTCTGGCCTTCATTGACATGATCTTGCTTCATTTCATTGATATGTTTCTTCTATGCCCCGTCAGGGTCGTTGAGAGGTGTCAATCTGACATTATCTTGCCTCAAATTGCTGTGAGGTTCCAGAAGCTTCTAGGGTGCAGGTTGCTCTGGGGGAAGAACCCACTGTGCTATTGAAATCTAACTCTTTTTTTTGGGGGGGGGGAAGGTTGTTACCAGGGATTGAACCCAGGGGCATTTAACTACGGAACCACGTCCCCAGCCCTTTTTTTGTACTTGATTTAGAGTCAGTCTCACTGAGTTGCTTAGGGCTTTTCCCTAAGTTGTTGAGGCTGACTTTGAACTTGTGATCCTCCTGCCTCAGCCTTCTGAGCCACCGGTGTGTGCCACCTGCCTGGAGAGATTATCACCTTCTAAAGAGCAAAGGTTTATTTTGGCTCACAGTTCTGGAAGTTTCGATCTCTGATTAGTTGGTTTTGGGCTGGTGACAAAGGCAGCATATAATAGCAGGAGCGGGTAGTGGAGCTAAACTCAGAGTCAGGAAGGAAAAAAGAGACCAAAGTCCCACCATGGCCTTCAAGGGCACACCCCCAATGACCTAAAGCCCTCCCACTAAGCCTCACCTCTTAAGGGGTCCCAGCCTTTACCACGTGGACCTTTGAGGGAGTCTGAGACCCAAAGATAGCACCCATTTTACAGATGAGGAAACTGAGGCTCAGAGGCCTGAAACCACCTGCACAAGGGCCCCACAGCTTGTGCATGTCGGGGCTGGAGCTCCTGCAGGACCCTCTGTTCCCTTGCCTCCTGTCCCCCCCTGCTCCCTCAGCACTCTGAGCCAGGCACCGACCTTATTATTACTAAGAAGAATCCGTAGCGTTATGTTTACTAATGTCGGCAAGAGCCAGCGCACGCTGAGGACCTACTGTGTGCTGGGCTGGCACAGAGAAGATTTTCCTATAGGATCTGGCACCTTACTATAGACAGCACAGGTTCCAGTTCCCGCTGGCCCCCCGGGGTGACAGGGAGCAGACCTCTGGGCCAGTGTCCCCATTTATAAGCGGTTCTCTTGGTTTCCCTGCAGGAACTGGGACTGTCGTGGTCCAGGCCCCTGCTCAGGTGAGCGGCCTCCTGAACGGCTCTCTGTTACTGCCCTGCCACCTGCAGCCTCTGGAGCCCAATGCGCAGGTGACCCAGGTGACATGGATGCGACAAGACTCTGAAGGAGGCCTCCACAAAGTGGCGGTCCGCCACCCGACGAGGGGCCCCAGCCTGGCGGAGCCGGAGCGGATCAGGTTCGCGAGCGCGGATCTGCTGGACGCCTCGCTCAGGGTGTCCGAGCTGCGCGCCGAGGACCAGGCCAACTACTCCTGCCAGTTCGCCACCTTCCCCATGGGCAGCGGGACCGCGTGGACCTGGCTCCGAGTGCTCGGTGAGCGGAGGGGACGGGGACCGAGGCGGGCGGCGAGGTGGCCGGACGCTCCTGGGGGCGGAGTGGGCGGGGCCCTGGCGGGGGCGGGGCGAGGACGGGGCGGGGTGGAGCGGGGACCCTGCAGGGACAGATCTTGGGGACTGGGAGGAAAATGCAAAACTCCTGTAAACGGCGCCACACTCAGAAAGGTGTCCTGGGGTCGCCTGAGTTTAGCCAGGTGAAGCTTTGAAAGGGGACGCTTGGGGACTTGTCCCCGCTCCTGGGAGCTCCTCACTAGACGTCAGCCGTTGCTCCTGAGTTTAGAGAAGAAGGAAAAGTTGAAACTGAGACAGTTGGGAGGCAGCGACCGCCGGTCCCGCAGGGGACCCCTGGTTGCCCCCCCCCCCCGACTGCAGGTGGGGCCCTGGTGACGGTTTCCTGAGCGGGGGTGGGAGGGTGGGGGTGGTTGACTCGTTTTCCTCTTGGAACTTGAAGTCCCCACGTCCCAGTTTTTCCCAGCCCTTCCAGTGAGTCACTCCCGGAATTCCCATCACCTGCTTGGAACGTGCCCTGCAGACAATAGCAATGCGGATGACGCTCTTGGGGCCCCCAGGCTGGGGTTCCTGGGATTCCGGGTGTTAGATTTAGGCTAGGGGTAAAACTGAATCCCTGAGTCACCCAAGGAGAAGGTCTTCAGTGAGTAATGACCCAGGCAGTGACAGGAAGCGACCCAGGGAAGCCCCAGGCTAGGAATCACCGCAGTAGCCCTTCAGATCTGGCCCACAGGCTTCTGGAATCAGGCGGACCTTGCCCGGAAGCCCAGCTCGGTGACCCTGGGTGGGTCACTTCCCCTCTGGACTTTCAGGGCTCAGGCGTCCTCTCCTCTGCAACATCACCCTCTGATGTCCCCTCTGGGTCCCCATCCCACTGCGGATCATCACTGTCTGGGGAACATCTGTTTGGGGGGGGGGCAGGGCAGGGTGGCCTTGGTCATTACCACCCACCATTGAGCATTTATGTGCCAAGAGCTCTGCCTGCCCGCCTTCTCATTCCCTGTGACCCTTAGTTATCCCCAGTTGACAAGTAAAGGCCACTGAGCTGCTCAGGGCCAGAGCTGGGATCTGACCTGACCATCCTGGATCCTTAAATAGACACCGGCTGCTGCTGAGGTGTTTGGGGATGACCTCAGGCAGGAGGTGACCCACCCTGTTGCTTCTCCCCGAAGCCAAGCCCCAGAACACAGCAGAGGCCCAGGAGGTCCCGCTGAGGCCATCCACCGGGGAGCCTGTGCCCGTGGCCCGCTGCAGCTCCAAAGGGGGGCGTCCATCCGCCAACGTCACCTGGTCCCCATTCCTGAATGGCTCAGCCAAGAACACCGTGGAGCCAGGACCCCTCCCGGGCACGTACACCGTCCTCAGCGTCTTCACACTGGTGCCCTCCCGCCTGGCAGATGGCGGGAACATCACCTGCAGGGTGGAGCACGAGAGCCAGGAGGAGCCTGACCTGCTGCCGGTGACCCTCGCTGTGCCCTGTGAGTGTGCCCACGTGTGATCAAGGGCAAAGTCTCCATCGTCACATGGGCCCCCCTGAGCCACCATAGCACCGCCCCGAGAACCGCAGCCCCACAGGACAGCCACTGCCCACACGGACGCCCCACCCAATCTACACGACTCCCTTCAGCACGGTCTACACTGCCCCACACCTTGCCTGCAAACTGCTTCCCTGGGCAGCTGTCTACACTGGCCTTCCCCACATGTCCACACGGCTGTCCCCCTTGTCTATACCGGTGCCTGTCCATTTTCTTTCTTTCTTTTTTTGGTACCAGCGATGGTCTACCATTGAGCTACACCTCCTGCCCTTTGTGTTTTTTTATTTTGAGACAGGGTCTCTCTCAATTGCTTGGGGCCTCACCAAGTTGCTGAGGCTGGCCTCAAACTTGCAATCCTCCTGCCGCAGCCTCCCAAGCTGCTGGGATTACAGGCCTGCTGCACCATGCCCGGCCCTCCTTATCCATTTTCTACCCAGCTTCCCGTTGTCTACACTGACCTCTGACATGGTCTATACCGATGCTGCTGAGCCACCGGCTCCCCTGGGTTAGATCAGTTTGCCCCGAGTTTTTCACACAGGCGCCCTGAGCAGCTTTGAGATGATTCTTCCAGTGTAGCCTACGCTGCCCTCTGCCCAGTGCTGTCTACACTGCCTGCTCCCTGGGCTGCCCAACCCCCTGCATTGCCACACGGCTTCCTTGTGTTCTGAGCTCACAGCCCCACAGCCTGGGTCTCCTACCCACTGTCACTTCCTCTACCCCCCCCAGTGTCGACATCATTGACACCCCAAAAATATGTCCACACGGGCAGCCCCATCCGATGGCAGGAGGGCACAAGCTACTATATGACTTTAACGTTTGGAGTAGCCACCTCCTAACAGAAAATAAATGGTCCTGGGGACTAAAGGCAGGGCTCCCCACCACTGAGCCACGCCCCAGGCCTGCTTATTTTTTATTTGGAGACGGCGTCTCACTAAATTGCCCAGGATGGCCTTGAACTTGCATCCTTTCTGCCTTAGCCTTAGCCTCCCAAAGCAGCTGGACAGTGGGGGCCCCCAGTGACATGTCTGGACTGACGCAGGCTCAGCCAGGACTCTGTCTGCAGGACTTGTCAGAACCTTGAACGTGCTCCGTGGGCTACAGGTGACGGGAGGCTTCTGCTCCCGGGACACCCAGGGCAGGCGGGGACGTGTCCCGGGAATGTTGGCAGGGAGCTGGGCCCCGCAGCCCCTCCACACCCGCCCTGACAGGGCCAGCCATGCTCTGCCCTCGGAAGGAGTCCCCCGCCCTGGATTCCCCCCCCCAGGCCTCTCCACCTGGGGCAGCTCCGCACCCCACGAGGCCTTCTCCTGCCGGGAGGGGACACAGTCACCTCCACACCCCAGGAAGGCGCCCGACTCAGCCTGTGTCCATCTCCCCCAGACCCCCCTGAGGTCACCATCTCTGGCTATGACAACAACTGGTACGTGGGCCAAGATAAGGGCACCCTGAGCTGTGAGGCACGCAGCAACCCAGAGCCCACAGACTACGCCTGGGACACGTGAGTCAAGTGGCCGGAGACCTGGGTCTGGGGGAGGGGGATGGGCCTGGACCCTGGGTCTGAGGGAGGGGGCTGGGCTGGACCCCTGGGTCTGGGGGAGGGGGATGGGCCTGGATCCTGGGTCTGGGGGAGGGGGCTGGGCCTGGATCCTGGGTCTGGGGGAGGGGGCTGGGCCTGAATCCTGGGTCTGGGGGAGGGGTCTGGGCCTGGACCCTGGCACCCCAAACCAAAGCTAAGCCAAAGAAAAATCATCCACAGTCCAGAGTCTGTGTCTGGCTCCCCACTCAGTCCCACCAACCCCTGGGCAATGCCACTTCCCTATCACCCTGTGAAGCCACTTCCCTATCACCCTGTGAAGCCACTTAATCACCTCCACAGGCTGCGTGAGAAAGTTGAGGCTCCCAACCATAAGATTCCCCAAAGTCACACCAAGGTTGAGATTGGGGGAAAAAAGGGCAGAGGGGCTCGCTCCTGTCATCCCAGTGACTCAGGAGGCTGAGGCAGGAGGATTGCAATTGTAAGGTCAGCCTCGACCACTTAGCAAGACCCTGTCTCAAAATAAAATAAAGGGAAGAAAGAAACAAAACGAAAAGAAAAAGGTATAATTGATTTCTTTATTCATTTTGGCGCTGGGGGTGAATCAGGGCCTCAAAGATGCTAAGCAAATGATCTTCCACCGAGCTATACCCCCAGCCCCATAAATTGCTTTACATTGTTGTTATTGAGCCTTTTTCTTCAGACAATATTTAGGAGTGAAAAGAAGAAAATAGTGCCTAGAGTCATGTGAAGCCAGTCACCTCCAGAAGTACCTGCTATTACCTTTTGTTATTTATCCTTCGTCTCTTGTTCTGTTTCTAAACAAAAGCTGCCTTTCCCCTGCTTGCGTGATTTTGAAACTTCCTGTTCTCTGAACACCTTTCCGTGCCAAAGCGCGTAGTTCCACAACCCCATTTTCCCTAACATCTTTATTAGGGGATTTTTCAAACATACAGTCATAAAAATTTCCCAGTCAACACTCCAAAGTCCACCCAGTGGACTCTCTCGCTGACACCGTCCTGCAGGTCTTATCCCAGGTCTGCCCGCCAGCCCACCCCCAGCCACCCGCCAGCCCTTCCTGTCCTTGTATTTCAAAGCACCTCAGTCCCTTTTGGAATCTTGCTGGGATTCCATCCCAGGGCCTGCCATTATGATCAACTAGCCCCTAAGGAGGGACACAGGGATCATTCTCCCTGGTCTGCTGTGCAGATGTCACAGTGGTGCCTGCACTAAGCCACCCACTTTCACAGAAAGTCACAGACGTTTACCAGTTACCAGTGGGAAAACTGTCATCAGGATTTTCTTGTCTTTTGTTCCAGGGATTGAACTCAGGGGCATTTAACCACTGAGCCGCCTCCCCAGCCTTGTGTGGTTTTTGGTTTGTTATTGTTTTTAATTTTAGAGACAGAGTTTCACTGAATAGCTGAGTTGCTTTAGGGCCTCACTAAGTCGCTGAGGCTGGCTTTGAACTTGGGATCCTCCTGCCTCAGACTCCCAAGCCACTGGGATTATAGGCCTGCGCCACCAGGATTTTCAGTTGGCGGTGACAGATGCCACCTTTGGCATCCTGGCTCCAGGCACCACATTTGGGGATCTCAAATCTGATGGCTGGATTTGCATCCAGCTCTGCAGAGCCCCGAACGTCACCTCCTCCACCTCTGTCCATTAAACCAAGGTGCTGCGCTATTTCCTGTGCTCCGGGGCCATGGGCCAACCCACTGCAGTAAATAAGACGGAGCAGAGTCCGTCCCCTTGTGGGGACCGAGGGAGGGGAAATGGGCAGGATGGAGTCGTAAAGCACATAGCACGTCCGATATTGATAAATGTCGTGACAAAGATAAAGCAGAGGAGGGGGATGGGAAAGAGGAGGGTCGTTGCAATTGAAACAGGGTGGCCGAGGACGTTGTTGTGGAGGAGACATCTGGGCAGAGGCCTGAAGGAGGTGAGGGTGAGGTACCTGGAAGAGCATTCCAGGCAGAGGAACAGTGTTTGCAAACACGTTTCTGCCCCTGGGCCTGCATCTGCAAAGGACAACCAGGAGGCCACCGTGGATAGATGTGGATAGACGCAGGAGCAATGGGAAGACTCATAGATAGTGTGGGCAGAAGGCTGGGGTAGGAGGGCACAGGTCATGAGGGTGGCAGGGACCAGCCAGGGCAGGGTTCTGAATCCAGGAGGGGAAGGAGCTGAGGTCGGCTCGCTGACGCCGTCTGGTGGTCAGTTGGGGAACAGACAGGCGAAAGCAGAAACTGGAGGGCCAAGGACTGGACCAGGGTGGTGGCCACGGGGCCCCCAGGAGAGCGTGGATGATGGACAGGTTTTGAAGGTGGGGCAACAGGATTTTTCCAGTGTTGGATGTGGGTGTGAAGGAGGAGAAGAGCCCCGGGACTCCAGAGTTGCTCTCCACCCGTGTCACAGATGGCGTGATGGTGTCCATGTCCCTGCATGCTGGGTGGCAGTATCCCTAGCACTCCAGCAGAGCCACGTCCTTACCCATCTGTCTCCCCCAGGACCACAGGTCCCCTGCCATCCTTTGCTGTGGCCCAGGGCACCCAGCTCCTGATCTCCACCAACCAAGTGATCAACATGACCTTCGTCTGCCGCGTCACCAACGCCCTGGGGACAAGTCAGAAGGAACAGACCATCCTAGTCCAAGGTGAGGTGCTCCTTGGAGACCTTCAGCCCCAGGAAGCTCTGACACCAGGCTTCCTCTGAGCCCTCTCGTGAGAGGACCAGCAGGGTCAGCTTTACTTTTTCTTTTTCTTTTTTGGGCACCAGGGATTGAATCCAGGGCACTTAACCCCAGAGCCCCATCCCCAGCCCTTTTGATTTTTTTATTTTGAGACAGGGTCTCACTGAGTTACTTAGGGCCTTGCTAAGTTGGGGAGGCTGGCCTCAAACTAGTGATCCTCCTGCCTCAACCTCCCAGGCCGTTGGGATTACCGGGGTGCACCCCCACACCTAGCTGGTGGACCTGCTATGTGCCACCAGACCATAGTGCAGCCACCTGGACGCGCTCCCTCCACCCACCCAGGCTGGGCCAGTTGTGCGATGCCTCTTCCCCCAGGGACTCCGAAAAGCCTTTCTAAGTAGGTGGGGAAGAACTGCATCCATCGCAATTGACAGAAAAGCATGACTCAAAATAATCGGAGCAAAAAGAAGAAGTAGAAGAAGTCTTTATTGAGAATTTGCTTTCAAGTGCAGTTGGATCTGGGCGCCCCAGCTATGGCGCCCAGGAAGTTTCCTTTCCTCTCACATCTCCGTTTCTTTCTGCTCTTGGGTTCTGTCCCAGGGAATCCAGCTGGTGCTCAGCAACTGGAAGAGCTCGCCCCCACCTGTATACCCTGGGGAAGACCGCCCTGAGAGCGCTAAACCAAAACCCCAGGGCTGGCTCTCATTGGCCCAGCCCAGGTCCCAGCCCGCCTACATGAGCCAATCACAGCAGCCAGGGAGCTTGAGGCGTTCCCATTGGCCAGGGCTGAGTCCAAGTCCGCCTGAGCCACACCCACTGGGCGGGGCAGAGTGGCCCGCGGGCTGCGCGCTGGGCGGGGGTCGCCCCAGAAGCTCCCTGACCTAAGGCCTGTTTCCTTCCTGCCAGACCGAAAGGGGTCTCCCCTGAGCCCCAGCGCCATCATCGGCATCGTTGTCGCCCTCTTCATCCTCTTCGTCCCATGGATCGTTTATTTCATACTGCACAGGTGCCGTGGTGAGTCCCCCCCTCTTCGGCACACCCCCACCCGCCTGCCGTGAACCAGCACCCTCAGCCACCATAGTTGAACACCCACTGTGTGCTGGGCGGGGTGCTCACCGCGTGCACCTCTCCCTGCATCACCATGGAGTGTCCCCCATTTTAGAGACAAGGACCCAAGACCAGGGAGTCTCTGTCCTTAGTTCATCGAGTCATTTTACAAATATTTAGGGAGGGGGACAGTCATGTAAGGACTTTGGCCACCGCAAGGACTTTGGCTTTTAGTCCGGGTGACATGGGAGCCCCTGCCAGAAGTGATGGAGGGTGGGGTGACACGGCCCCACCAGCTTTTCTCTGCCTGCCATGCCCGGGAGTGACCCCAGGGGGAGGTGGCAGGAACTGGCCCCCTTGATGCTCTGCTCTCAAAGGCCAGGGCCTCTGCACCGCAGGGACTTTGTCCAGGTTGTCCCCTGCCTGGAGCCCCCTCCCCCCTCCTCCTGTGAATCGCTTCAGCTGATTCTGTTGTCACAAGGCTGCGTTCGCTGAGCACTTTCTAAGGACCAAGGGTTCTCAACACACAAGCTCCGTGAATACGCACAACCTTTCAGCAAAGAGGGTGCCACCGTGAGCCCCGTGTGACAGAGGAGGGAGTGTTTGCTGTGACAGGAGAAGGCTCCTGTCAGCGGTCACACAGCGAGGCAGGACTCCCACAGGACTCCCACATCGAGGCAGGACTCCCGGGAGGAAGCTTTTCCCTGGGGGGAGGGGGTATCTCGGGGTCCCCCTGGCCACACCTCCTCCAGCAAACTCTCCACCCCCCCACCCCCCGCCAAGTGCACCAAGGTCTGTTCCTGTTGGGAGCAGGACATTCAAGTCATCACAGGTGGGGACGTGTCTGTAACCCCTGGACTGTGAGCCCAGGAGGGCACAGTGGGGGTGTCAGGGCCACTGCTGTGTCCCCAGCACCACCCGGCACTTAGGGAAGGGTTTCCTGAGTGGAGGGGCCAGCATCTGTGTGGGGGCCTCATGCCACACCATGTCGCCCAGCTCGCCCCCTCCGCGACCCAGGCCTGACAGGCACAGGGAGGGACAGTTATTTGGGCTTGTGGCTTCAGATCTTGGTTGCTCAGCCCTGCTGCTTTGGGCTGGTGGCAGCTTAGCACGTCCTGGTGGGAGCCTGGGACAGAGGAGGCCCGACCAGCTCATGGTGGCCAGGAAACAGAGAGCCAGGAAAGAGCCAGTCTCCCAGCACCGCCCATAGCTCCAGGGCTGGAAAACCAAGCCTGCAACACATGGTCCTTGAAGGTCATTCAAGGTCATAACCATGGCAACTGCCTCAATCTCACCATGAGCAAATTGTGTGACTCAGTTTCGTAAACTGTAAAGTGGGAGTAGCCATCAGCATTGTAGCACAACATCGACATGGTGTAAGTCACGCACACGCTCTTGCTGTTACGACCATCATCGTCATGGTTATTAAGATTCTACTAGAGAGGGAATTTTTGTGTCTTATGCACAGTTGAATTCCCAGCACCTTGAATGCCCCTGGCACAAGATAGACAGTTACTGTTTGCTGAATAATAATAATGCAATCTTCTGAATAAACCCCTGTTGGATAATGGAAGAAATAGAGACACAGAAAGGTTAAGTCATTTGTCTAAGGTCACACAGCTCCTAAAGGACAGAGATGGGATTTGAGCCCATGCACAGTAAATTTTTATTTATTTTTTTATAATCAAATGAATATCTGGACGACTAACTCCTTAAAGAGCACTTAACCATCCATGTTTGGTAAATGTGAACCCCACTAAGGGAAACAACACCCTGATCACTAGCAAAGGCAGGACTTTGAATTTCCAGGGCCCAGACACCCACACAGGTCCCCTTCCCAGCCCCGCCCCCCAGCAGAGTCCTTTCTTCCTGAAATTTTCCTCTTTCTCCAGATCGCAACCGCGACCCACCCAGACCTTCAGAGAACGGGGTAAGTGTGGAGGTGCAGCTGAGGAGGGTTTGGGGGTCTGTGGGGACCACAGGTCAATTGCTAGGACTTTCTCCAGGAGGGGACACACAGAATGGCACTGGGGGCCTAGATCTTTCCCCCCATTGCCTCAAGCTGCAGGAGTCTCGGGAGAGTTTGAAGCCCCCTGCGACTCAGGTGGGGGCTGGGGATCGTCCCTGCAGCACTGCGCCCCCAGGTGACTGTCCTGGGGAGCACTGGCCTGGCTAACGCTGAGCTCCCCTTCCAGGACGTGTCCTACTCCCAGGTTCAGAGGGACGACCCCCTGGATGGGCCAGCCGAAAGCACAAGGTGACAGTGTCAGCACTGAACAGAGGGACAGAACTGCTTAGGCCGGAGCCTCGCTGACAGGACCCCACCCGATGGTGGAAGACCCCTGCAGCCGGCCAGGCCGCCCGCGCACACCTGCAGCCTGTCCCCTCACGGTGCAGTGGGCGGCTGCCTCTTTCTGGGCTCCGTCACTTGCAAGAAGAATCCACAGGCCTCCAAGAAACCGCTCGCCTCACTCAGGAGAGCGCCAGCTCACGACGACAGGTCACCATCAGCCAAGAGGACAGCACCCAGCAGGTCTGGGGGAGCCAGCAGGGGCTCCTCCTCCTGCCTCTCCCGGGACTCCCGGGGTCAGCACTGAATGCCCCCAGCACCGATGTGACCTGTGGCCAGGGAAGCTCACCAGCGACCGGAGGGTCCCGACTTTTGTTTGTTTTTATTGTGGTGATTGTTGTTTTGAACTGGGATTGGACCCAGGGACACTTAAGCACTGAGCCACGTCCTTTTTTATATTTTATTGAGAGACAGGGCCTCGCTGAGTTGCTGAAGGCTAAGTTGCTGAGGCTGGCTTTGAACTCGGGATCCTCCTGCCTCAGCCTCCTGAGCCATTGGGTTTACAGGAGGGCGCCACCGCGTGTCCTGGCTTTTTATTGGCAAGGTCAGACCCTGTGCCCAGCAGCTATGCCGCCCTGGGACGCAGAGGCGCTCGGCAGGCCGCACTGACGCTGCTGAACTTATCATCATTTTTGACTTCTGTAGATGGACACCTGCCTCCATCTTACTGGCTCCTTATCATTTATACTTGGTGCTGAGTATGGAACCCGGTGCTCACACACCAAGAGACTTGGGACTTTTAAAGTTGACTGTGAAAGGCCTGCGGAGGCGGGGGTGTGGCTCAGGGCTAGGGGACAGGAGTGAGGGACCAGGCCGAGGTCCACACTGCTGGAGAGTCGAGGGAAGGATTGATTTCCATATATTTATTTATTTAAGTAAAATTTATTTAATAAATAAATAAAATTTATTTAAATAAACCCTTAGTTTATTTAACTGTGTGCCCAGGATTTTTTTTTAATTGTTTTTTAGTTGTGACTGGACACAATACCTTTATCTCGTATTCATCTTGACATGGTGCTGGGCATCGACCCCAGGGCCTGGCACGTGCTAGGCGAGCGCTCTACCGCTGAGCCCCAGCCTCAGCCCAGGGGCCTTTCCTTTAACTTATTTTTTATATTTGTTCTTTTTAGTTAGACCTGAGTGTGTTTTGAATATTATACACACAGGGAGCATAGCTACCCCTTCTCGCGGTTGTACGTGAGGTGGAGTTTCACTAGTCGTGTTCACATATGAACTTGGGAAAGTGATGTCCGGTTCATTCTACTGGCTTTTCCATTCTCCCATCCCCCCTCCCCTTCATTCCCCTTTGTCTAATCCAGTGAACTTCTGTTCTTCCCCAACACATCTATTGTGAATTAGCATCTGCATATTGGAGAGAATGTTCAGCCTTTGGTTTCTGGGGACTGGCTTATTTCACTTAGCACAATAGTCTCCAGTTCCATGCATTTACCAGCCAATGCCATGATTTCATTAATCTTCACGGCCGAGTAATATTCCATTATATATATTCCGCATTTTCTGTACCCATTATCTGTTGAAGGGCACCGAGGCTGGTTCCATAGCTTAGCTATTGTGAATTGAGCTGCTAAGAACATTGATGTGAATATGTCACTGTGATGTGCTGATTTTAAGTCCTTTGGGCATATGCCCAGGAGTGGGATAGCTGGGTCAAATGGTGATCCAACTTCTTTTAAAAGAAGTTTGTATGTGTGTGTTTTAGCACAAATGTATGTGTTTTAGCACAAATGTATGTGTTTTAGCACAATTTTGGTAAAAATAATAAAAATTTGTTACAGAAAAAAATTTTTTTCCTAAAACAAATTTTTTTATAAAAGGTCAAAGTGACCTGGGAATTCCACTCCCAGGAATGTAACCCCCAAAGAATTGAAAACAGGCACTTGAACACATATCTGTATGCGGAGGTTCACACCAGCACCACCACAATAGGAATCGTGGTGTGCCCAGACAAGGGATGTTCTTCAACCAAAAACAGAACCAAGCCCCAAGGCATTACGCTAAGTGCAAGAAGCTGGCCACCAAGGCCCCCTGTTGCATAATTCCATTTATATGACATTTGCAGAAAGGGTGGCGTCCGTCCACAAGGACAGCCAGAGTGTTGTGGAGGCTGGGAAGGAGGAAACTGGGAGCAAACTGGGTTCAGGTGTCCTCCGGAGGTGATGAACACGTCCTGGGTGCAGATGGTGGTGATAGGTGTGCAACATCGTGAATGTACTAACACCATAAGTTTTCAATGGTCAGAATGGGAAAATGTGTGGGTTTTAGCACAATTTTGGTAAAAATAATAAAATTTTGTTACAGAAAAAAATCTTTTTCCTAGTTCTTCTGAAAAATTTTTTTCACTTACTGGCAGAACTTTCAGGAATACATCAAAGCTTTGAAGTGAAGGATGAACGTATATGCGAGGGCTAGCCAGCACAGTGGGGCACACCTGTAATCCCAACGACTCAGGAGGCTGAGGCAGAAGGCTCACAGGTTGGAGGCCAGCCTCAGCCACTTAGCCAGGCCCTAAGCAACTTAGGGAGACCCTGTCTAAAATTTTGAAAATGTAAATAAAAATTAAATGGGCTGAAGATGTAGCTTAGTGGTAAAGCGCCCTGATTCAATCCCCAGTATCAATAGCAACTTCCCCCGGCCCCACCCCACCCCACCCCACCCCTCCTCTGCAGGCTGATATTTAAAACAAGGAGCTGGATTTTCCTGCTCTACTCCAGGAACCCCGGTTTCTCAGCCCTGCTTCTCTGCGGTTCGTTCTGTTTTCCTCCAAATGTTGCCATCAGCCTCAGGTTGATGCCAACTCGCTGGGCCACTCAGCCCTCACCTCCACCCAGTCTCAGGCCCAGAGGAGCAGCCCATCCCCTCGGGCTCCATCTCTAGGCCCAAGGAGCCCTTCCCTGCGGCATCCCTCCCATCTCATTGGCCAGCTCCCACACCGCCCAACCAATCCCAAGCCAGAAGAATGGGCCACCCGGAGGCTGGGACCAATGGGGTCCGCCCTCTGAGGCTGGGAGGAGCCCGGAGGAAGGAAGGCTGTTGGTCTCCACTGCCTCTTGGACGCTGCTTGGAAGACGTTTGAATTTTATTTTCTTCTTTTTGAGTTAATGACTAGTAAATGTTTTATAATAAGCCTAAACTGTGTTTTAATAGTTGAAAATGAATCAGGAGAGGGAGGAAGGGGGAGAGGGAGGGGGGAGGGGAGAGGGAGGGGAGGGAAGAAAGAGAAGGAGAGAGGGGGAGGGCCACCGGCTTCTCCTTGCTCCCGGGCCTTGCTCCCGGGCCTCCTGCGCACTGCCCCGTTCCTCCTCTGAGCCCTCCGCGAAGTGACCCTGCCGATTCCCATCCTCCAGAGGAGGAAGCGGGCTTCAGGGGCGCAGCCAGGGTCTTGTTAGGCCACGCAGCGAGAGACCAGGCGCCCGAGGCTGGAGGGCAGGCGGATGGCTGCTGACCCAGCGGCAGGTGCTCTGGAGCCGTGGCCGGGGCTGAGGCTTCCTGGGGTTCACAGGAAGCTGGGCATCCCGTCTTGACCGCCAAGACTCGGGTGGCTGGAGTTCTTGACCTTTGTGACCAAGGACAGGGGCAGAAATGTCACCACAGGTAGCTCACAGGCGGGAACAAGCACAGCAAAGCGCTTGAGGCCGTTATCTTTGTGTGTAAATTTGTTTTTTCCTTGGGGGGGGGCACCGCGCTCTGTTCATTGCATCTTTATCTGGTGCTGAGGTTGGACCCCAGTGCCCTGGGGGGTTGGGCTCCCTGGGGAAAGGCCACAGGAGGGGAGGGGGGCCAGCCCCTTCCCCAGGCCTCGGCTCTTCATCGTGATGTTGTCGTGATTTCATTTTGTAACCAGGTCTGGCCTCCAACTTGGGATCCTCCTGCCTCAGCCTCCCCAGTTGCCGGGATCACAGGTGTGCGCCACCCCACCCAGCACTCACTTTTTAATACAATTTAAAATGTACATTGAAATACATTAAGTATACTTAGACATTTTAAGTGGCTATTTAATTTTTTTGATATTTTCAGTGGCTATTTAAACTGACATTGAACTAGCCGATGTGGATAATCGCTACAATCTCAGCACAACCCGGGACCTTCCAGCGCCCAGGCTGTGTCCCAAACCAGAGGCAATTGATCCCTGGGGCTCCCCAGCCTGACAAGCTCCTCCCTCACCGGGGACTTTGCAGCCCCCACAGGGCACCTCCGAGGCCGGCCCAGCCCTGCCCACCCCTCAGCCCTCCCCACCCGTTTCTACTCCTATTCCAGGTCTCCTCCGGAAGCCCCTGCCCCTCAGGCTAAGTGGGGTGTCCCCTGGGGCTCTCTGGGGTCTGGTCTGCCACAGGTGAGGATGGATACAGGACCGTCCCAATCACTGTGTCAGAAGCACCTCCCAGCACAGGACGGGGCACCGGGGCCTGTGTGCCCGAATGACACAGCCGAGCACTTCAGAGTGAGCAGGCGCGGGTGGAACCCCACCTGGCCTCAGAGCGGACGGAGTCTCGGTTTCCTCATCGGTGAAGTGAGTGGTTTCTGGATGGGGTGGTGCATCAGGGCTTCTGCAGGGGGATGGCTGCCCTGGAGGCTGCGGGAGGGTCCCATCACTGCTGACAGTCACTTTGAGTGGGAAGAAGAGGCTGGAGGGCGGGGGAGGAGTCCAGGAGGCCCAGGAAGCTACTCCCATCACCCTGGGAAACTGGTCTGACCGGTGCCTGGCTCCCATCTCGGGCACCGCGAGCTCGGGAGGCTGTGGAGGGGGCGCTGGGGCTGGGCTTCTCGGGCACCGGGAGTCCCACAGAGCCCCTTCAGACAGCGGCCCAGCCCTCTGGCCTCCTGGGGTCCCGCCTGTGGCCTTTGGCATCTCCGCAGGACCCCGGGGGACTGTTCTCATGGGGACTCGGAGCTGCTTCCCAAAGGGCCTGCTGCTCTCAGGTGAGGAGGGAGCCGGCTGGGGAGGGCGGCCCCCGGCCCAGGGCTGGGTGTCTTCTAGGAAGGGAGGGACGATGACTGGGAAGATGAAATCCTTAGAGGAACGTCCATTCCCAGGTTGTCTGTAGAACATTCTAGAACCGCGGGGGCAGCAAGGGGTTGGTGTTTGACTCCCTGCTGTACCCCTGGTGACCAGGGGAAAGTGTCGGGGACGGTAACACGTCACCTGGGGTGGGCACCATGGCCAGATCCTGAGTGTGTCACACACCTGGAAGGAGCGGTGCCAGAAATGAACCCAGGGATCCAGGTGACACCGTAACCCCAGGGCAGGAAGCCCTCCTGGGCCCACGGGGGACACCACTCATCGATGCCAGCCCTGTTCCCAGTGCCCCGCGCTCGGGCTCTGCCCCCAGATGGAGATCTGGGGGGAGGGGAACGTCGGGGTCCCTCCCCGCGCCCCAACCTCGGGCCTCCCCTCCTTCCCACAGCCTGCCTCCTGGCCCTCTGGCCACCCCACGGCTCCCGGGCAGCCCTCCGGATCCAGAAGATTCCAGAACAGCCTCAAAAGAACCAGGACCTTCTGCTGTCCCTCCAGGGTGTCCCCGACAGCTTCCAGGACTTCACCTGGTACCGGGGGGCGGAGGCCCACGGGGGGACGATGCTCTTCACCTACATCCCTGGGCTGCAGCGGCCCCAGCGGCCCGGCAGCGCCCTGGGACAGCGCGACATCGTGGGCTTCCCCAACGGCTCCATGCTGCTGCGTCGCGCCCAGCCGTCGGACAGCGGCACCTACCAGGTGGCCGTGGCCATCAACCCCGCCTGGACCATGAGGGCCAAGACCGAGGTCCGGGTGGCCGGTGAGTGCGGGAAGCTGAGTGCCGCCAGGCCCAGGCCCCACACAGCCCGTTCCCTGGGCTCTCTCGTGCATGCACACACACTGATGGAGCACCTGCTGTATGCCAGGCCTGGCAGATGTCATTAAGCCTTCAAGCGCTTTAACTAAAGCGCCCCCAGAGTGTCTGCCTGTGACAGACCCCACGGAAGGCACCTTCTCAGTGACGCCACGTGCAGGGGTCCACCAAACCTTGATTGAGCGCCTCCTGTATGCCTGGTCCTGAGAAAGACACTGCATCTCTCCTTCCTGGTGGGCACAGGTCCAGGTGTGCTGACACTCAGGCAAAGCACGGGGGACAGGGCAGGGGACAGCAGCACCGGCCAGCTGAGCACTGCCCTCAGTGAGTTCCCCGGAGCGCAATTTCTCGCACTCCCCCTCCAGGCCCGATGACCTGGAGCGTCCCACCCCGGGTCCCTGGTCACCACGTGGCTTCCTGGTCGTGACCCTCCAAAAGGTCTCCAGGGGATATGTCACCCCTGCTTAAGAGTCACTGCCCCACGGCGACTTGTCTCTACCTTAAACCGAGAGGCAGAGCCACTCTGTGTCTGTTACAGGTGGGGAAACCGAGGCACGGAGAAGCCATGGTTGACGAAGGAAGACGAAACGGGACAGTGTGACACGGGGAAGGTCATCAGGGAGGCCAGGCGAGGGAGGCCGAGGAGAGAGGGGTGATGGCCGGGAGGTCACGTCCCCCAAATTCATACGTTGGGACCTTCACCCCAGGTGGCGGTATTGAAAGGGGGGACCTAGCCGGGTGCGGTGGCCCACGCCTGTCATCCCAGTGGCTCCGGAGGCTGAGGCAGGAGGATCACGAGTTCAAAGCCAGCCTCAGCAGCTCAGGGAGACCCTGTCTCTAAATAAAGTACAAAACAGGGCTGGGGGGGCTCCGTGGTGAGTGCCCCTGGGTTCCATCCCTGGTACCAAAAAAAAAGGCGGTGCCTTTGGCATTTGTCCCTGCTGTTTGGTGACGGTGGGGAGGGACCAAGGACCTGGTACCACTGAGCTGTGTCCCCAGACCAAAAGGCGGGTCACTGGGAGGTGATGAAGCCAGAGTCAGAGCCGCTGCAGACGAGGTCAGGGCCCTTTCTAGAGAGACCCAGGAGAGCGGCTCAGCCCTGTCCCGCGAGGACCCAGCAGGAAGACAGCGTCCCCTACGGAGCCCAACCACGCTAGCCATGACCCTGGACTCCCAACCTCCAGAGCCGTGAGAACCACACTCCACGGTTTCCAAGTCACCTGGTGTAGGCTGCGCGGTTCCAGAGGCTTTAATGAGCCAGGACACGAGGGAACCCGCACAGAGGCCCTGGCAGAGGGAGCAGCAGGTGCCAAGGCCCTGGGGCTGGGCCGGCTTGGTGCATAGTCAGAGCACAGACAGCGGATGCAGAGGCTCCGAGGGGTGAGCAAGGCGGGTTTGGAGGTCAGGCGGGGGCACACGGCCAGGCTCGCAGGCTTCAGCTGCACCCCGTTCCCCTGGGGCATGAGCTCCCAGGAGAGCTCCCTCCCCAACAGCTGCTGCCTGTGGTCCCCCAGCAGCCCTGTAAGGATCTGTGCTTTTCCTTTGTTTTACAGAAGAGGAAACTGAGGTTCAGAGAAGCCCTCAGCTTACCAGAGGCAGCGTCTTCCAGACGTCCTCACTTACAGGCTTCATGTCCTAATTAATTAAGTGACTTAGTCATTGTTGGAGAAACTCAAGGCAAAGGAAATAACAATGACAGTTCAGGTTGGGTGTCCCTTATGTGACCAGAAGTGCTTGGACTTGGGATATGTTTCGATTTTGGAATTCTGACATAAACACGATTAGGTGTCTTGGGGGTGGGACTCAGGTCTAAACAGGAAACTCTTATGTTTCACAGGCACCTGATGGACACAGCCTCCAGGGGTTTCTGCAATTTTTTTCTTTTTTTTTTTTTTTGGTACCAGGGATTGAGCTCAGGGGCACTCGGCCACTGAGCCTCGTCCCCAGCCCTATTTCGTGTTTTATTTAGAGGCAGGGTCTCACTGAGCTGCTTAGGGCCTCGGCTTTTGCTGAGGCTGGCTCTGAACTCCTGATCCTCCTGCCTCGGCCTCCCAAGCTGCTGGGATTGCAGGTGTGCGCCCCCCCACCCCCAGCCCCAGTGCCGTGCTTTATGCAATTTTTCTGGGTGGAATTTTCCACTCGCGTTCTGTCGACTCCAGGAGCTCCCAGTTTTGGAGCATCGGGGTGTAGATTTTCAGATTAGGGACATTCAGCCTGTGACAATGACGTCAGAGCGGCCGGTGCACGTGCTGTGGCAGGCCCTTGGCAGGTGTCGTTGACAAGGGCCAGAGCAAGCGGAACCCGGAGGCTGGCGGGAGGGAGAGCCCTGGCGCTGCGGGAAGCCTGGGCCGTGGGGTGCGTGGGGTGCAGGGACCTTGGTGCTGAGACGGGCGGCTGCTGGCCCCACCTGCCTGAGTCACCTGCAGAAGCCACTTAATCTGATCTTGCCACCTGCAGGATTCGCCAGAGGAGAAAGCTCTCGGCCCAGGGCCAAAGGCAGCCTCTGGGCTGCAGAATGGGCTCCACTGAGCTGCCTTGCTGGGGACAATGGCCAGATAGGCCTGGACACCGCCCAAACCTGGGCGTGGGTGGCCCCCTGTCCCCTGTTACATTTTCAAATAGGTTTCAGACACTTGAAGTAGAAGAGGTTGAGAGAAAGGAATGAAATACACAAACCACGTGTTGATTCGATCACACAAATACACACAAAGGACACAGTGACCCCTCCCACGGAGCCTGAGGTCAGGGCTCCCAGGGCCCCTCTCTTGGGGCTGCAGAGGGACCGTCAAGTGTCCAGGGGGCCTGGGTAGGACCCCAGCACCACGAACCCTCAGGCGAGTTGTCCCACCTCTGTGCCTCGGTTTCCTCGTCTGCGGAAAGACACAGAACCCACCTGGGTGGACAGTGCAGGTCGCAGTCTTACTCCTGGTCCCCAGAAGAAGAAACCGAGGCACAGAAAGGTTGAGTGATTTGCCCTCGGTCACACAGCCAGCAGGGACTGAACCCCTGCGTTCTGACCTCAGAGTCGACCTGCTTAGCTGCCAGAGGGCTGGGGACCACAGGCGTCCAGCTTGAGAATAAAGCCTGGGAGGTCCCCAGGCTGGGTGAGTGGGAGCCGGCAGACTCGGGGTCCAAGCCGGGAGGGCAGGTTCGAGAATCCTGCGAGTCCCCACTTCTCCCGCAGAGCGCAGCCAGCACCTCGGGTCTCCGAAGCTGGGAGTGAGGGACACAGAGCGGGCAGCAGGGAGGGGACACCTCGGAGGTCCATCTGGAGGGCAGCAGGTCCCGGGAAGCGGAGACCTCGAGGGGCGAGAGCGGGGACTCTGTGCCCTCAGGGCTGGCAGAGCCCCTGGGACATCACTGTCCTCTCTCGTCCCCCAGAGAAGCCTCAGAAGCTGCCGGCCACGTCCCCGCCCTTGGACGCGGGGCTCCTGGCTGCCACCGTCATCGGCTGCCTCTCCACTGGGCTCCTGCTGGCCGGCAGCCTGGCCTTCCTCCTGGTGACCCGGGGCTGCAGCGGCCCCAGGTGCGTCCCTGCTCCCCCGAGGGCAGGAGGGAGGGAGGACCGGGTGGCCCCCTGGCTTCTCTCCCCCCGCCACCCTAACGGGGCTCCCTCCTCCACCCCAGGGCGACCACCTCAGGGAAGCCGGAGCTGGGCCCCCGCGGCGACACGGGTAAGCTGCCACCTCCCTCCGCCGTCCTCCCCCATCAGGGCCTCCCTGGGGGCCTGGACTCAGCCCTGAGAATCCCAGGGCCCCCCCCAAGCTGCTTCTCCTCCTTCTCGGTGGCTGTCCCTCCTGCCATCATGCGGGGGATCCTCATGGGGAACCCAGGGTCCCTCCCGGGATTCCTGGATCCAGCTCCTCTGCTCCAAAGCCCTCCATGGCTCCCCAGTGCCCTTGGGGTGCACCCACGTTGGCGAATGAAGGAGTCAACGGAGGGACGGGCTGGGCTGCTGGGGCGCCGTCACCAGCGGGTCCCCCCCTCCATCCTCTGCTTCAGGTGACAACAATGTGTACGGAGTGATGCCCTCTCCAGTCCTCCTGGCCACCCCACTCGGTAACACGGGGCCCACGAGCGCAGCCTCGGTGAGTCCCATCCCCATGGCCCCCTAAAGCCCGTGCCCGGTTTTTTGTTAGTTTGGGGGTACAGAACCCAGAGGCCCTTTACCAGTGAGCCACACCCCCAGTCCTCTTTATTTTTTATTTACTTTTTAAATTTTGAGACAGGGTCTAAGTGACTTAGGGCCTCACTTAGTTGCTGAGGCTGGCCTCCAACTTACCATCCTCCTGCCTCAGCCTCCCAAGCTGCTGGGATGACAGGCATGCACCTCAGTGCCTGGGCCCTGAAACCGGCTTCTAACAGGGCGCCTCTCCTCTGAGTTGGCCACGGTGCCTGGGGCGCCTGACACCCAGTTTAGCCGCCCTCCACCTAACGGGGCTCCGTCCCCGCACCCCAGGGCGACCACCTCAGGGAAGCCGGAGTTTTATTTTAAAAATCGTGAAGAAAAGACCCTGAGAGGAAGTAGCTCTTGCCCCTGGCACGAGTGAGAACCCGC